TCTATCATCTAAGCGAGGCAGAACATGATTTCTCTAGAGAGCACTTTTTTCATTTCCTGATTTTAAGGAAATCAAATAAGCACCATTTGTCTTCATCTGAATATGCTTGACCTGCTCAAATAATGATGTCTTCCATTTTATAACAGACTGCATATGCTTCGTACAAGTTACAGGCATCAGATAAGCCTTATGTCTCCTGTCTTTCGACAAAGCAGTGTTAGTTGGCAAGACTATCTAGGCTTTTGTAACTGCAAATTTCATTGGGTAATAGAATAAAACATGACCAATGACAAAAATGCATAAACTCAATTGTTTTATTTGTACTCTTTATATTACACATACACGTTTAATACTACATATACAGCAGTGGTATATGGTTTAATACTGAGTATGTATTTTAATAGATGTATCCACATACTGTATGTTGTTAGAAAGAAAAGCATATCAGTATTAAAAGCACCACGGCTAAATGCTGTACAAATGCTTATCTGGACAAAGCTACATATGTTCTCTGTCCTTCAGAAAAGGGGGGCTGATACAGGCAGATATGATGTGTAATCTTATTGCATCATTATATCAAAGTATCAGGTAAGAAGACACAGTTATCATGATAGTCAATATGATAGTTTCAATAAAATAATAACATATTTGTTTTTTTGCCAGTTGTTTCAAAAATGTCTCTGCCTGCCGTTCCCTTGAAAGGCAAGCCAAAAAAGCTGGTACAGATAAGATGTATGATCCTATTGCATCATTACACCGAAGAATCAGGTAAGAAAACACATTTATCTTGTTAGTCAATATGATAGTGCCCCCATACAAATTCAACACATTACTACTAATCTAACATTATGCATATGTTTATGTATTTCACAACTTAAACTAGTAGACCTATATATTTAGCAACAACATTATATTTATAATGTACCCACTGCATTCTTTACTCAATTATACTGTGATGGATGTGGTTGATACAGGGATATAGGGGGTTATTCACAAAGCTGCCATAGGCAACCGAGTGAATAACCGACCCGAAGTGAAGTGAGCCGAACACTGTTCGGCTATTCACTTCAGGCTTGTGCAGCTGATTTCAGCCATATATCGCCGTGCTCAGCATGTTCGGCCAACCTGAAGTGCAGAAGGAATTAGACTCAGCCAATCCAACATCTGGATCGGCTGAGCCGAACCTCCGGCAGGCTACTCGCTGCTGTTCGGGCTATTCTCATAGATGCCGAACAGCAGTGAGTGGATAGCCGAATGCTGCTTAGCTCGGTACCGTGGGGGGAAAAAGAAAACAATTGGGCGGAGCTAGCAGTGACAGCTAGCTCCACCCAACTGTTTTCTATTGGCCGGACCAGATGTCATTACAATGAGAGCTTGTCGGAGCCAGCGGGGAAATGAAAGCCGACTCTGCTAAGCTCTCATCCTAATGAAAACAGTGTCTGCTGGTTACCTAGTAACCAGGGAACGCTGTCCTGTCATTAATATGAGAGCTTAGCAGAGTCGGCTTTAATATCACCGCCGGCTCTCCTATGCTCTCTTTGTAATGACAGATCGGCATCCCTGGTTACCTGGAAACTGGGGGCGCCCATCTTATTAAGGGGCTAGGGCTTCATGCAGGGTGCTGCTACCTCCTCTCTGGTCTATGTGCCCACCACCAGGGTGTCCACCATGATCCCCAGCCTGCCTTACCTCCAGAGCAGCGGCCATTCCCAACAGGGCAGTCCGGTGTCTGGGCACAACATGCTGGGTTCTCAGTGTAATGACAGATGGGGTCCCTGGTTACCAGGTAACCAGGGATGCCCATCTGTCATTACACACAGAACCCGGTGGACCCACTGTGATATCACTGCGCCTCCGACGGGTTCTCAGTGTAATGACAGATGGGCGTCCCTGGTTACCTGGTAACCAGGGACGCTGATCTGTCTCTGCAAGTGGCTGGGGGCCAGCCATGAGATGACTGCTGGCTCCACCCAGATGTCAGAAGCAGGCTGTCGGCCGGCCAATGGCCGGCCGTTTGGCCAGCTTTGAATTTCACCTGGGCTCAGTCGAGCTGAAGCATATGCCTTCGGCTCGACTGAGCACCTCGGCCAACTTCGGGAGCTGTACGGGCTATAGTGAATAGCCCGTACAGCAGCCCTTCGGTTCTACTGAACCAAAGGGGTCCTGGGGCCGAAGCTAGCCAAAGGATCAGCTTTGTGAATAACCCCCATAATCTTCCTAACATCAGGCTGAATAGCACTAAGAAGAAATCTTAGATCCTATACAATCAGTCATTTGAGTCTGTTTTTATGTTTGGAGAACACTGATGTATCACTCTACTAAATATGTTATTTTTTTTGTACAGCATAAGTGTTACTGAAGTGTCTGCACACATTAGATTTTCTCACATAGATTGTGTTAAACTAAACTTTTTTTATTTTCCTTGGTTCTGATGCCCACTGCCTCTCCCTTTTACCTTACTACTCCTTTGGAATTTCCACCTCCTCCAGGGGGTGGTGTCACCCACTTTGGGAAACATGGTTTTATACTGAATGGTTAAACAGATCCTTTATCAGAAAAAATGGAAGAAATTAACTTGCCAAAAAAAGGATCAAGGTTTCAAACAAAGTAGAAATATGACAAACCTTTTGTTATAATTACTCTACTATATTAGGAGAGCAAGAAACTGCAAACTGAAATAATTACTTAAAATGTAGTAAACCTAAAAGGGCCTTAAGAGAAAGCACCTAGACACATGCACTCTCGCATACTTTTCCCTACAGCTTTTATTCTTGTAGACAAAGAAAAGTGGACCAAAGTTTCTACAGTTTAATGAATTACATTAATACCACAGATTACTGCTATATTGCACATAATTTTATAGTATATTGTGTATACCAAAAACTGGTAACCCATCCTTCCCATTGGTTTGAGATCCTTCTATGAATTACCAGAATAGAAGATGGATTTTACCAGAACACAGACTAAGAATTTACAAATACCCGTAGTGCCACCTGCTTTGGAAATCTGGTAGAAACTTCAATTACAAAGATTCTCTATTGAAACAATATTTGTAAGGTTGGTTTTCAAACTGAAATCCAAAACATTTTTTTTTTGCGTTTTGAATAGGACGGAGAAGAGTGATAACTAGATGATAAAGTGATTGGCACTGTTTACTTCACAGCACACTCCTGCGGCTGCTGGTGTGAATGAGCCCTAACACTGATTACCATGTGTGGGTCATACAATCTTTCAACTTCATGAGGGATTAGATAGATGGGGTTTTTTTATTCCTCCTTTTTGTTTCTTTATCTTCTTCACATTCACTTCTCTCTTCTTTTCTTTGGCATCATATGCATATACCAACACATTTACAATGATTATGATTTTATCCACTGTGTTTATGTTTATATATTACCTTTTTAATACATGTGCACAGTCGATCCAAATTTGTGGAACCACAAAATAAATGTATGAAAAAAGAGTGTTTCCTCTGGTTTCTGTATAATTTTTTTTTACAAGCAATATAAACATATATATCATACACAATAATAAACTTTCATACCTCCATAGATTTTCAGGGAATACAGACAAAAGACAACAGAAAAGTATACACAAGCAAGACAGATTCCTGCAATTCCTAGAAGTCTAAGTACAATTTCTGAATCACACATATCTGTGGTGCTCGCATATTCTTCTCTAAAATCTGAATGTGGTCAGGTTTTTTTTTAGGGTCAGGCATTTTTTGTCTGAGGTGATAAAGTAAACTTACCATATATTTTCTTTCACAATAAGAAGTTCAAATTATTGACAGCTATGGAATTAATCCCCTTCTGCAAGAAAGTGAATTCCCTACATGGTTGGCTACACTTCTGAAAGGTGATGCAAAATCCTGACTTCTACAGAATGAATGTGTCGTGTTTTAATTAATCACTTTTGATTTAATGAAATATTACATGATTATTTTGTAGATTTTTTAGGGAAATGTGTGCATAAAAAGCATTTAGTTTGCTTTACTCCACATTTTTCATATTTGAGGTATTTGTGTTTGAAATCTACTTTTGTATTATATTTTCATACCTTTGTACACACTAGAAATCAGTCTGGGAATGGGAATCAAGAACTGTGAGCTCATTAGCCTATGGAACTGGGGGTTGGAGGGGTAATTGTTTGGGCACGTTGACAAGAGGGACACATGTGATAATATTTATATGTATTCTAATGTGTAAGCTGGAGTAATGACAAATAAAGCTGTAGTGCTAGGGTGGTTGGGGTTTGTGAATCACAAGCTGAGTAAACAGTTCAGGTATATACTGTATCTATTTCAACTATGTGTTCACCTTGCTGGAGTGTATTTCCACTTTTGCAGCCAAATTGGGATAACACCTATTTTATATTTGTTACATGTTTCTCGTTCACATTGCATAACTTATTTTCTTAATTTGCTGCTTGCATATTACAAGCTCTATTCTGAAAGATAAGTTGTTCTCTTTACTGAGTTTTGTCCTGGAATGTAAAGGGGGCTGGGCAGGTTATGTTTCACATAACTAAGCCTGTCTGTACTGTGCTGGCAGATCTCGTTATCAGTTGTATACTAGATTTAAACACTGTACTAACAAAGGATTTAGGATCAAGGATCAATGCATGTTAATGAGGGAAAGATCAGTCTGTTTCTAGTCTTTATATGGGGACAGACAGAGTTTCCTGTCAGCCAGAAATTCAGAAAGCAGTTCGCAAATGCCTTCTACACAGACACAATTAAATAAGAAAAATTATTTTTAGGTATGCTGTGTGAATATGAACAAATAACAAACATATAGTGGGATTTCCTCAAATTTGACTACAAAAGTGGAAATAGACTTTACGTTTATTTACAATGCAAAAATACAACATTCATCAAATAAATATGGCATGTTGCCATAATGTATACCATACAGAGCTGTAACCCATCATAATATTGGCAAAGAATAAAAAAGTAAATAATTGCAAAAGATAAATGAACAAACCAAAATGGGTCTTACCTTTTCTTCTTGGTCACTGTCACTGTCACACTAAAAATAGAACACAAAGACAAACTGTCACTTTTTAAAAGGGAAATGTCAACACAAATTAAAATATAACACCCACTTTCTGTTTGAAATACTCTTTGTTGCAATGTGATGAGTAGAAAGGTAATAGATTTTGACAACAGTTTAACAAGGCAAAAAAAGCAATGACCTGTGTCTAGACAGGTTTTAAATGTACCATAAAAATATTGTCTTTAAATGTTTCTCCAGTGTGCATTCTCTAATAAACAGTGACATCCAAACGTTGAAACTTTCATATATAAGTAAATAAGTCTTTGTCATGTGACCTACTTGTATTCTGAAGGTTTAAAAATAATATTTGTTTGTGTTTTCTACTAAAGTAACATTTTTGGCAGCCCTAGTTTAGTTCAGCTTTTGTCAAATAATTACTTGTCAAGCATAACTGGTATGTGCAATGAGTACTATCATGGCAAAAGACCCAAATCCACAATGCTACATTTTAAATATTTCAATAAAATTGTGAGATGTCGGTTGGCATAGGAAAATTATAGAGGGATTTGCAGAATAAATTAGATGGACCATACTAGTCTTGGTAGTTAAGTAAAAAAAAAGTATTTGCTTCATTTTGCCCAACTCCAGGCACAGCTATTGTTATTTTTTTAAACCAATTTTTCAATATCACATGAATATTATTTTACTAGTTCACAAGCTCTGTATGCTCCTGAACAGACTGAATATGGTCAATGCGAGTTTCGGTGTTGTACCTCTTCCCATTCACAAAGCACAGCTACAGCCTCATCGCTGTGTTGTGCTTTGTAAATGGCACAGCAAAGTGAGGGAGGAGGAGGCACAACACTGGAACTGGTACGGATCTGGGCAGCGTTACGATACACCGGGGAGACAGAAGTGCAGCTCACACTGTCCATATCAGAATTGTACAGTAGACCATGAAGAGCTTCTGAAGTAGTAAAAGAATTACAATATTTATGTGTGAATTAAAGATTAAGAAACATTTACATTTTCTTGGCTTGGGATTGGGCTTTAAGCAAGCTGAGCCACTTGAAGCAAACTGTAAAGCAAAAAAGGGTTGGGTGAAAGTGTGGATATTGTTAAAGCAACTGTCATTAGACTTAAATAAATGTAAAGGCGTTATATGCACCAGTTCCATCACCAATTCTTCCAGTTTTTGCTCTGATCAAGAGCTATGGCCACCAGAAGAATCTTCACATTTGGCACTTCCAGAAGTGTTGGATGCCTATATTTCCCGCCACATGGTGTGGTCCCTTATGCGGACTCCTAAGTCACTACTGTGTCCTATAGTGAGGTAGGGGCCAAGGGAAGGAACCACATCATGCAGCAGGGGATCAGGCATCCAAAACTCCTGAAGAGCAAAGATAGTTGGAAGAGGTGATGGGATATCTTTTTTTTTTTGCAGATGGTGCTTCATTTTTTTAAAAACCAGTGATTCACTTTAACAGCAAGTTTAATCAACACAGTAATCAGCATTAGTTACAGTTAGCAGACTGGAAGACTACTGCTGAAGTGCTCTGTTCTCAGACTCAACTTTAACTACTGTACAGACCTAAGGAAAAAGTCAACTAAGAGTTAATGAAGGGTAAACTCAAAACAGTAGGGGATTGCTGGAGCTCGTGTTACAAACAGATCAAAGGACAGACTGTTGATCTGTACATATGAACTAAAACAAATTAAAACATTGTTATTAGAATGCACTAGCAAAAGAACGTCTGTTCATATAAAAGAATAAATACAGAGGTGCATGTTGGTGCATTGGTGGAGAGTAAAGAAATGTATGCTAGTGCAGTTGTGAAGAGTGTGGTGCACATAGATGAACAGGCAGAGAGGGAAAAAGTGCACATATGTGTAGTGGTGGAGAGTGAAGAAGTGCACATCCTTGCAGTGATGAAGAGTGAAGAAGTGCACATCTATGCAGTGGTGAAGAAGTGCACATCTATGCAGTGGTGGAGAGTGAAGAAGTGCACATCTATGCAGTGGTGAAGAAGTGCACATCTATGCAATGGTGGAGAGTGAAGAAGTGCACATCTATGCAGTAGTGGAGAGTGAAGAAGTGCACATCTATGCAGTGGTGAAGAAGTGCACATCTATGCAATGGTGGAGAGTGAAGAAGTGCACATCTATGCAGTAGTGGAGAGTGAAGAAGTGCACATCTATGCAGTAGTGGAGAGTGAAGAAGTGCACATGTGTGCAGCAGTGGAGAGTGATAAATGTGCACATTTGTGCCGTGGTGGAGAGTAAAGAAGAAATGCAACAAGGTGCAGTGGCAGAGAATGAAGAAATGAACATCAACGAAGTGGTGAACATTGAAAGAGTATGCACTGGTGCACAGAGTGAAGGCGTCCACATCAGTGCATTGACAAATTATGAAGAACTTTGTGACATTGGAGTGGTGGGGAAAATTATTTGTGCATGACAATGCAGTGGCAGTGAGCGGAGTCCTCTGAGTTGGTGTCATCAGCAGATTGTACCTACAGAGATCCAGCTTAAGAGATATTCTGTAATAGACTGCTCATGAGAGTAATCTCAATCAATATTCCATGAGACTTATTGGTAGAGCTTAAAACACCCTGTGTGAGAAGCAGCCCATGTGAACGTGTATAGTTTTGATGCCAAGTGACATTACTTCCACTTTACAAGACATAGAACTATACAGGCAGTGTTTGCACACAGCCTATTGGGATATGCACCCCATCATGACATAAACTAATCAACAATGTATGTCCAGGATGCAGATTTGTGTTTTTTGGCTCTTATAGGGGGAACATAACCTGCCAGCTGTCTATGACAGCCTAGGAGGTGACTGGGAGGGTGGAGATAGTTCTCCCTCTCACTTCCTGGGTTCTTATTTTACAATCATTATAGTATTTATATATGAATCCAGGAATAAAGAAATGCCTCTAGCACTTAGGTGAACATTGCATGGTAAGCTTATACACAGGGGGCTGGGGGGAAAAGTGGTACACACTACAAACATTTCTTATAGTGGCTTATCAGGAGGAAAAAATAAAGATAAGGCAATGCTTTCTGTCACAACCAAACCTCGGTCAGCAGTGTGTTCCGGTGTCCCATAGATATTAGATCATCTCCTGATTCCAACAAAAATAGACAGATTGGGACACTTTTATCTATTGTCTACGGGCACATTTAGGCTGCTTACATATGGCATAACTCTCACCAAAAATGACAGCTGATGAGATATGATGATGAGATTCTTGTATCAACCAATGTCTGAATATAGTGCCTCTGGCGAGAACATTTCCAAGGTGAAATTAGAACAGTCCTTCTGTCACATATTTCTTCTAGCATGTTGGAAAATTACAGTAGTATTAAGCAATTCCAACAGTCGTACTTTCTAATTATTGCTTATGAGTTAATCACTATACTGTCTGTAAATTGTATGTGATGCTCAATCTGGCAGTGAATGGTGGTACCCTTCGTCACAGTGTATTTAGAAAATATCACACTGTTTTACTATTTTGCGGAAAAAGCTGAACAAAAAAAATGAGCATTAAAATTCATGTCTGAGAGGAAAATATCATCTTTGAGACTTCTGAGGCAATTACTCAAACATTATATTTAACATCTTGTCTGGCTGAACATAACTTCCATCAAAGTGTTAAGCTTCCTGCTTCCGACAGTCCAGTTCTAATTTCAAGGTCCACTTAATTCTGCATCAGGTAATTACAGCTATACCCAGAAGCCTCTTGTCTCCAGAGTTAAGCATATGGTGAAGGACTGAGACCTACTGGTGTCCATTATGTAAGCAGCACGGCTGCCAAGACGATTAAAAATGCACAGGCTTCTTTCCCAACACAGTGATTGACAGTTTCACGATCTGGTCAGTCACTGTGTCTGCCAACAGCTTCTTCTGTGCTGAGGCCCACATGGCACAATGAGGAAACACTTCCATCTCTAGTATTACATTTTCTTACTGACCTGAGGACTGTGCCACAGGCTCAGCAGGAGCACGGCATCTAATTTACAGCTCCATCCATTGGATCCCTCAGTGCCAGCCTTTGGCAGAGATGGATGGTGGTCAGTGCCTCCAGCTCATAAATTATGCAAAAGAAATAAATGCATTCAAAAAGCATCTAACACATTTTCCAGGATTCAGATACATTTGAGGAAAAAAAAGACAAAACAGGTACGTGTAAAAGGTTTGAAGTGCAGCAAATATGAAAATAAAGCAGATGAACAAACAAGATATGCCCTCGTCCGTGACAAATTGATTCTTACATTCCCTCTCTCTACTATGCATACAACACCTTAAAAAGAGTTGGTTAGTTATGTAAATCATATGTGATCTCTTCTATTTTGCATATATGATATTCAGCAGCTATTTATATCAGACTACATACATATATATGTGTGTGAAGTATCTGTATGTATACACAATATTCAGCTGAGAGCATCACAAAATGTAGGTGTAAATAGCTATGATTTCAGTAATAGAGTGCTTTTGATGTGGTTTGCAGACCAAATGCACCTGCTTTAAAAGTTTTTATTTGCCATCATTACCTGAGAAGGTCTGTGCTTGGTCCACTGCAGATAATCTAACAACTGCAATACAGAGACAACACAATTTCTTCAGGATTAAAGCTGAAACACAATTGTACTGGGTCCTCTCCTGTACTAAAGTTGCTTAATCAGATTTCACTGTACACTGGGAGCTTCTCACAGTGTGCATTAGAAGATGCAAGTCAGATAGAGTCTAATTTCCTGGCTGAAGGACATCCAGCATCATCTAATGATTTCCTCCCCAGACTGACTGTTGGTGACCTGCCCCTTTCATTCAATAGATTTCAGTTCTTTCAATCATGGAGGTTCAACATCACATGTGGGCTTTACAAAGGGCAATCTGCATGCAAATGCAGCCTGCCTAGGAATGCCCACTCCGTCAGACTGACCTATACCTATCGAGGTATTTTGATACCTACCCCCATGAGCCAGCCTACTGCTTGCATCAGGACTGAAGAAATACTGAGATG